TCATGCTGGTGCGACCACCATTACAGGTATCCTAACCCAATCGTTAGTAACAGTTGCCATAATACAAATATTACATAAATAATTATCCAAATTTTTGCTATCAATAGGATTTGAACACCCAACCTACCACTTGGGAGGTTGACAACCTGACCACTTCACTAGGTCACCACACCCCAATCTGGTTTTGAATAAAGTAGATATTTATATATGTGTATGTAAATTCTATTTTATAGCAGCAATTATTAAAACTAAAAGGTTTATAGATATTATAAAATAGAGCTACTGGTATTTCATTTTCTAGCTTTAAAGTTAGAAATACAAATAAGAATTTTTAGTATATATGTTTTGAGAAGAAAAAGATAAAAAACATTAAAATATAATTTAAAACTAATAATTTATCTAATCTAATAATTATAAATCTTATTTTTATTATATAATAAAAAAATGTTTAATATTTTTTTATATTTCTTGCTTATTCTATATTTTTTACTACTAAAAATCAAATAAAGCAAAGCAAAAATATAGAAAACCCATAGCAAACCAATCAGAAATATATTTAATGCAAATGTTTAATTGTTGGTATCAGGATAATTAAGATTCATCTTAATTGAAAGAATTGAAATAATTATGCTATAAACAAATAAAAAAATAATTAAATTTGAATTGACCAAGTTTACCAATTTAATTTTTTTGTTTAATTTTTTTTTTTTTTAAATATTAATAGTGAGGCCATGCCTTTAACTTTATTGTTGTTTAATTTTTTAGCAACTCTAAATTAGGTAAATCATTTAAAATTTTATCATCAATTGTTACAGTTTAAATTTCTTTTTTAGAGATTTTATTTACAAGCTTTTTTCGGATGGATAATATTAATGTTATAATTCTACTTAAAACTATAAAGCTTGATGTTATGATAAATCCAACTTTTTCAATTATTTTTTTTTCATCTCTCTACAATAATACTGCTTCAATAATCATAGTAAAATTCGCTCTAAGTAAGTTTATTGCAAGTAATTTATTTCTTTTAACTAAATGTTCCAAAGCTTTCATATATTCTTTTTTCAACTCTGATATATTGTGCTTTTTTTCTTGACTATTTTGAGAGTAAGATGGAATAGTTATTATGCTAAGAGTTAAAAATTTTTTTTAATAAAAATAATCAGAAGAAAAGATTTTAAAAGAGGCTTAGGTATTATAACATACTTAAGAGTGCTAAAAGTAAAAATTCTCAAAAAAATATATATTCCTAAAATTTATTGATAACCCAAAAATTTTATAAATAATATATAAAAAAAACAATTATATTTTTTTTTCGAAGTATTTTAAGAATACAGGGAAATTTAAATTTTAATACTACACTATTAAAGAGAAACAATAGATAAAATATTATTGATTGATCAGAATTTATAAAAATATAGATATGTATATAATCCTTTAAGTTACTATCATCTGAAATTATTACTTTGTGCCGAAGTGCAGTTCAAATTGAACTTAAATTAGATTATTTCTGCTCTTGCACTTGCTCCTCTCTCTTTGCTAAAAACTGCACTCCTTTAAAGCATAGAATGATTAGAAATCATATCGAATTTATTTTAATATTCTTATTAAAGAGGAATAATGGAAATAATGTTTTTAGAATATCGATGCAAAATTATAAATGAAAAATGTCAATGTCAATGTTTTGTTTTCTGTCTGTAATAAGAAGAATTTATCATGTAACACATTCCAATCTATCCCAACAGCATGAATAATATATATTTTCAAGATGTTCATGAATTTTATCTTTAAAATCTTCAAAAAAAAGGAGTAATATATCTGAGTTAGAATGTCAATATAGAAGGGTTTTAGAATGTTTAGCCGAAGGATACAAATTATTTGTAATAAGTCTATTTGGGGCAATTATTACTATTATTATTAGTGCAACATTATAGTAGAAAAAGAAAAGAATAATTGAAAAAGTTGAATCCATCACAACAACAAGATTCACAAGCCTAAGCAGAATCACATCATTAATATTATCTCTAATATTATCTGTCAAAAAATGTATTTTAAATAAAAGCATCAAGAAAGACAATATTCAAATTATGGAAATTAGTGATGAAATACTAAATGGTTTATTTAATAATCAAACACTGCACTATATAGAAGTTATGAAAGATAAGAAAAAAAAAATTAGAAATTACAACTTAGTAAATCTTAGTTTTATAATTTTTTTTCTATCTATATTATTATTCTTGCAATTATTTCAATCTATTTGAATCCAGAATTTGCATTACATATTTTTATTATAGGCTTATTATAAATTTTTTATATACTGCTTTATTTTTATTTGTTTTTTATTAGTAAAAAATACAAAATAAGCAAAGACAATAAAGACAATATTAAAGATACTCTAAAAGGATTGCTTGTACAATTTATAAACCCAAATAATATTGTTTAAACAATTAGCTTATAAACGTATAGAATCACAAAGGTCTTTAATATAGGACACTCTAAAGAGAATGGAGGAAATTAAACAAATAAAATATACAATCTATTATTTCTTTTTTTTTATTATTCACCTATTTAATAAAGCATGCTTGATTATTATTTTTTTCAATTATATTTACATTATCGTGTGCATCAAAGTGTGCCCTTCTTCTCTTTCTGAGTTGCTTTTGTGTTTTCTAATAATAATGTCAGATTCTGTGATAGGAACCTTTCATATGATTGGCTAGCATAAATTAATTGCACTAGTAACTTATTTATACAGTTTAAAGTACTTTTGAAAATGTAATATTTCACTAATAAAAAATCACCAGAAAGACCATTTCTAGCTTCGAAAGAATGCAGTTGTACAGATTTATCAAATGAATAAAGCTTTTTATACTAATATATCTTTTACATTAACCTGCAATTCTGTTTCCTAAAAATTTTCTTTTTTTTGAATCTTATTTATTATCAAAAATCTGCTAATTTAGGAAGTGCTGAAGAAATGTTTAATGTTAGTAATTGTTATTAAAATAGGATTGGAGTTGAAAAAAATAAATATAAGGCATTTAAATATTACATAAAATCTGCAAAATTTGGTTATACTAGTAGGATATCTGAAATCAAAAATAAATATCAGTTGTTATGAATTCCTTTTGATGAGGAAAAGACAGATTTTTAACTGTATATTCTGCTAGATGGAATAATAAGAAATGGCTAATTCAGTTAGAGATTTTACCAAAAATAGATATTGAAGATCACACCTTTTATAGTATAAGGATGTCGATCAGAAGGTTCTAGATTTCATAGCACATGACATTAACCAATCAAATTAATTAAAAACTTATATACGAGCGAATATGTTTTATTATCAACGAAGCTATTAACAAAGCTTCACCTCTTATTAATAAATATTTTAAATAACAATTTATT